GACAGCCGTGAGCTGGGTGAGGAGGGAGGCCTGAGGTCACCTCTGCAGTAAGTGGAGGGAAGGATGTGCAGAAGCGGGGTTGTCTGCATGACACAGCTGAGGCAGGATGAGGTGTTTGGGGCCTATGCCTCAGCTCTGGTGCGTACTCTATCCCTGGGCAGCCACAGCCTCTGTCTCGAGGCTCATCCCAGCCTAGTGGCCCTCCACCTGTCTGGCCTGGCCTCATGTGTTTATTTGGGAGCGATGGGGACACATTGTCCTGTCACCCTGCTGCAAAGACTTTGCATCCACACCAGGACTGGACTGATCTGCATTGCTTAAAGCTGATTAAAGGGATAAGGAGAAGTCCTAGCCAGCTCTGCGCACACTGGGACATGGACACAAGGCCAGGCTCAGCTAGCGCAGAGACAATGACTCTTGTTTTAAGGACAGTTGCCTAGGGGTCCTCTACAAAGAACCACAGGGACAGAGGACAGGCCAGTGGCTGCAAGGGTTAGGATGGGGAGGCTCTGACCACAAAGCAGCAGCATAAAGACTCTGGGGCTGACGGAAGTGCTGTGTTGTGGTTGTGGGGTGGCTGCAGGAATCCCTTGCACAGCTTTGTTCCCCGTAGATCACAAAGAGAGTGAAGAGACAAGGGAAGCACTGGAGCCAGGACATGGACTGTGTGAAGCCCGTGGAGGCTTGAAGTTGCCTTCAAGGGAAGAGGAGACCGCCCTTCTCGTCCTCCCCCAGACCACCTGGGACAGGGCCGGGGGCTGGAGCAGCTGCCCTGCCCTGCTAGGGCCTTGTGTCATTGTTCCCAGGGCAGAGTGGCACAGTGGAAGGGCCTGGAGCCTGGAGGGAGAGGAGAGGAGACAGACAGACAGAGACAGAGGAGAGAGAGAGACAGAGAGATGGGGGGTTGTGACTGGGAGGAGGGGAGAGTGGAGGGAGCGGAGTGTCGGAGAGATCAGGGAATGGGAACATCCTGATGGGACGGGGGAGGGCTGCGGAGATGAGAGGACTGAGGGAAAGCCTCCTAACCTGTCACACTTGGCGTACCAGTTTATGATGTACAAGTGACTGCCCTACAACACTGATCACCTTGATTCTGCAGCACAAATTATAGGGTTATTCTTTTTTCATGTGTGTGTGGTACTGGGGATTGAATTTGGGACCTTGTGCTTGCAAGGCAGGTGCTTATGCTGCTGAG